GTCAGAGGGAGAAGCAGACGCCCTACCAAGCAGGGAGCCCGATGTGGGACTCGATCCCGGGACTCCAGGATCATGACCTGAGCCGAAGGCAGTCGCTTAACCAACTGAGCCACCCAGGCGCCCGAAAACTGAAAATGTTTAAATGTTACAAAGAACAGAAGAGTTAGGAAGCATTAATCTAAGACATGATTACTTAACCTGAAAACAGATTTCAAAACATTTATATTCTATTTTACATAAGATCGAACTCTCCTCAATACTTTCAGCCTTTTAAAACTATGTAATTCCAATCTACAAATCATTCTATGAGTTTTCAAGTCTTTCTATCATTTATATAGTATATAAAATTGTCTCTTTGAGGCAAAATCTTAGACTTTTAAGTAGAGATTTTAAAATTCAACAAATTATTATTTATTGAGCTCCTCTACCAGAAATTAGGTCAAGTTAGGGAAACGAATAAAAACACATAGTTTCTATCCCCAGTGAGTTTAAAAAATCCACAACATTTAATCTTTTCACAGGTTTTCACACACTTACTGTATCACAGCAGAAGGATAAAGGCTTTAGAAGTAAACAGCAAAATTGAGTCCCAGCTTTATTAAGGGGTAAAGGTAAGTTATTTATCCCCTCTATGCACTGACTTCTTCCTCTGTAAAATGAGGAAAACATCATCTCTGTTGAAGAGTTTTAAGTACAGGGGCGCCTGGATGGCTTAGTTGGTTAAGCATCCAACTTGATTTCAGCTCAGGTCATGATCTCAGGGTTGTGAGATCGAGTCCTGTGGCAGGCTCCGTGCTGGACCTGGAGCCTGCTTAAAATTCTCTCTCTCCCTCTGCCCCTCCCTGCTTGCTTGCTCTCTCTCTCTCTCTCAAAAAAAAAAAAAAAGTAAGTACAATTAAAGTGTCTAGTAGAATGTTTGACCTAGATAGGATCTATTATATCCATTTTTCAGTTCTAACCAATCAGGGCAAAAACTCAGGCCATTTATACTAATAACAATCATTCTATCTTTCAGAAAATGGTATCAGAACCAGATTACATGCAGATGGGCATGTAAGAAGTATAAAAATTCAATGTGATGCTATACACTTCATATCATCTTATAAATATCCAACATGTTTCTAATTAAGAAAAAAGGCAAAATTCATTTTGAAGAAATAACATTATATAAGTCATATGCACAACATAATCAAGAGCCTCCCAAATCAGTATGCTGCTGCTTCTCAAGCATACGTGGCCTAGTAAGTGTTCAGGACTTCCACAGGATCAACTTATATCAATCAAAAATCTCTTTCTTAAGGCTCGAGTCCCTAAACTTTAACCCCAGAGGCTCAGCAGCTGCCATAAAGGGAAGTTTGAAAAACTGAGACTCCCCTTTTCTGACAAAGAACAGCATCCATGAAAGCTTTTAGGGCAACAGTGGCTGATTTGTGAAATTACCTAAGAAAAGACCACACCATCTTTTGAACCAAGTATAACCCTCCTACTGAACCACCTGTAATAAAAATATTTCAATACTCTGAAGGAGTTAACATGCCTCCCAAAGTGCCAAGTTAGAATTAGAATTTGGGGTAAGAAGGGACCTTAAGTCCCTGTTATCCATCCCACTCCCACAGCAATTTAGCTAAGAGGAAACTGAAGCCAAGAGAGGGAGGGAGGGGTTTCCCCAAGATACGTGGCTATCCGGTGGCACAGACAGGAGGAGACAGAATTCAAGGTACCTGACTTCCAACCCAGTGTTCTGCTCACAAGAGCAAGCTTCTACTTCTATTATAATAAAGGAATGATCTGTGCATATCTGGCTAAGATAATAGAAGACAGCTCTGAAAATATGTTTCAGTTATTACTTAGTGGACTCAATAAATAAACTTTTAGCCAATATGAAGAAAATCATGAGGACATTACTTTAAAAATGAAACAGTATCAGCTTTTCTGAATTTGAGGGACATTAAAAATCACTGTGACTGTTTCTAAGTCAATTTTTCTTTTTTTTAAAGACATTTATTTGAGAAAGAGAGAGACAGAAAGGGAGGGACTGAGGGATAGTGCGCACACACATGGCGGTAGGGGCAGAGGGAGAGGGACTCCCCATGGGGCTCAATCTCACAACCCATGAGATCATGGCCTGAGCAGAAACCAAGACTTGGTCACTTAACCAACAACGCCACCCAGGGACATTAAGTCACTTTTTCTTAAAAAAGATTATAATAATATAAAGCAAACAAGCACATCAACATACTTAGAGTTGAGAGAATTGATGATTTACCTTCTACCAGATGCAGGAATCCTTTCTAGGACATTCTTTTTCTAGAACTTTTTTTAAAATTTTGTGTTCAGCTTTCCAAATATTTAAAGCTAGTGATCAGTCTAGCCGTTCCTTTTTCTCTTTCTTGATAAATATATGTAGAATATTAAAAAGTACTTGGACATAGCTCATACAAATCATATTCAACTCTGTTCAGTTCAACAAAGGTTTATCAAGCCCTAGGTATTGTGCTAGGTTCTGGGAGTACAAAAAGAAATGAGACCTAGTCCTTGCCCTGGAAGAGCTTACAAGAGAGTAGGGGAGAAAAGTATACAGAAATAGCTTCAGTCTAATAAAAAGTGCTAAATTAGATCATGTACAATAATAGATACAAGATTAGAGAACAAGGAAGGGACCAGAGTAAAGGATACCAAGAATACAACAGCGGGCATTTTGGCAGGGTCACACATTTGGATCCAAATTCCTGGATTGAAAATACTATATTTTTTCATATATATATATTCATATAGATATATATTCATATATATATATATACAGATATATATATATATATATATATATATATATATATATATTCATACACACACAGACACACATACACACTATATATTCGGCTCAGGTCATGATCTCAGGTCCTGGGATCAGCCCCAAGTCGGGATGCCTGCTCAGTGGAGAGTCTGCTTCTCCCTCTGCTCCTCTCATTTGTTCATGCGCACGCTAGCGCTCTCTCTCAAATGAATAAATCTTAAAAAAAAAAAATTCTACATAAAATTTCAAAGAGTTCAACTTAATCTAAACAAAATGTGATGGTTCTTAGTAATAAGATAGAATAATGACGGACTGAAAATATTAAAATGTACACTCGTATTAGGGGCGCCTGGGTGTCTCATGGGTTAAGCGTCTGCCTTCGGCTCAGATCATGGTCCCAGGGTCCTGAGATCGAGCTCTCCCATCAGGCCCCCTGCTGGGGGGGAACCTGCTTCTCCCTCCCTCTGCTGCTCCCCCCACTCTACTGCTCCCCCTGCCTGTGCTCTCTCTCCCACTCTCGCAAATAAATAATACAATCTTTAAAAACATATATATACACTTGTATTAGACATTACAAGTGCACACTTAAGCAATTATATTTGCTAAAATAAGATAAATTATTCTAAAGCAGATCGTGGCATTATACAAATTCATAAAGGAAGAGACGGCTTACTGGCTTCTAGTGTGAAGATGAAGTAGTGTATGTTAGAAGGAGATTATTTGGTATGACATCCACGAAAGCACTCTTCTCTTTTTTCCATGAACACTCAAAGAATTAAACATGAATGTTCAGGATTCCCAAAACAATAGTAAGTATAATTTATTGTTGGAACGTTAATTTTTTCCTTGACCAAGAAACCCATTAAAGATGGAATTTGGTTGAATAATACTTAAAAGTAAAATAGCTGAGATCTCGAGTATCAGAATTGAACTTTATTAAAGCTGTCATCTTTAAATTATTTTGAACTGTTACACATAAGAAATAAGATTAAAATTTCCTCTGACCATACAACCTTGTGTAAGGTCCAAAATGCATGTCAACCTTCCCCGTGTGTTTTCCTTTAACCTAATAGCATTTATTTAGTCCTCCAGTAAATGGTAAAAGAAAATTAAGACCTTGTTCAGCACTATATACTCTCTTTTTTTTTTAAAGATTTTATTTATTTATTTGACAGAGAGAGACAAAGCGAGAGAAGGAACACAAACTGGGGGAGTGGGAGAGGGAGAAGCAGGCTTCCCACGGAGCAGGGAGCCCGATGCTGCGGGGCTCGATCCCAGGACCCTTGGATCATGACCTGAGCTGAAGGCAGATGCTTAACGACTGAGCCATCCAAGCGCCCCAGCACTATATAACTTCCTTACAACGTATACAAACATGACTCCCATATTTTGGATTTAAATGTTTAATACATTTAGTTAGTAACTGTCTATAATTAACAGTAATTTTTGTTTCTACATGGTTCTAGATATTGGGATCTTTTTTAGTGAAAACAAGATACAAGATAAATGTGAGAACGGTTCTTATTTCTTTCAGGTTTGTTTGTTTGTTTATTTATTTATTTTTTAGAGAGGGTAGGGGTGCAGAGGGAGGGGGAGAATCTTAAGCAGACTCCACACCCAGCACACAGACCAATGCAGGGCTCAATCTCATGACCCTGAGATCATGACCTGAGCGAAAATCTGAAGTCAGACGCTTAACCAACTGAGCCACCCAGGCGCCCCAGGTTCATTTATTTTTTAAACTACCTTGTCATTTTAAATCTCTTGGTTATAAGAGGACACTGCTTATCTATACCAGATTGTTCACAGCCCAGGAAACATCACTCCCTCTGAAGCAGTATATGCCAATGCCATAATTAGGACAAAAGGAGAGGGGAAATATTTTAGAATCACCTGGAGAGTTTTTCCAAACTGTACCTTACCACTATCACAAGTACAGAAAGCCAGTGCTCTAGAGGTGTATTGCAGACCTAATAACAAGATTGAAATCAAGGATTTCCCTGAAACTAAATTTAGAAGCTACTGTCTTACAAGGACTGCAATAAAAAGGATATTAAAAAAAAAAGAGTAATGAGGACAACGCTGAAGGTTTCTGAAGATACCTATGTGTGCAGTTCCCAGCTAGATTTGTAGTAAGGCAATAAACAAAAGGAAGAAATCACTGCCATCACATTTATGCATAAGCAGTGCACTTTCAGTTTCTTACCTCCAATATTCTGAATTAGGATGGTGCCTGCTACTGCCACCTATAAAAGAACAAATGTATTCACAAGATGAAAGAAGAAATAAAAGGATCAGTATTTTACTAAAATCCAATAACCATTACTAAAAAACAGATGCAGAAGTGAAGAGAAATTGAAAAGAATACACTGTCAGCCATTTGTAATACATAAAACTAATGATCATCACATAAAAAGCCCTTTTTTAGGGCGCCTGGGTGGCTCAGTTGGTTAAGCGACTGCCTTCGGCTCAAGTCATGATCCTGGAGTCCTGGGATCGAGTCCCACATCGGGCTCCCTGCTCAGCGGGGAGTCTGCTTCTCCCTCTGACCCTCCCCCCCTCATGTGCTCTCTATCTCCCATTCTCTCTCTCTCAAATAAATAAATAAAATCTTTAAAAAAAAAAAAGCCCTTTTTTAATAGTTCCATAATTCCTATAAAGAATGCTTTTGAAAATTTTCTTGGCAGTCATTTTAAACAGTTAAAAGTGTTAAAAACTAGTAATTGGTGATTATCAAAGTAGCAAAAAATTGCAATTAAATCTATCTGGTCTCATTCTCCCTTTTTCACCGCTTTAGGAGGTAGAATGAGGCATTGCTTTAGTAGGTCGACTGCTACAGCTTGAGGTGTGCTGTGAGGATGCTGTTTTGCACAGAAGGAAATTACAGTCTCCTGAGTGTGTTAGCATGGCAAAAAACAAGCTTTTGAACATCCTGTCCCAGGAATTAGTAAAGTCTAGAGCAGAAAACTCTAGAGCCCACATATTCTCAGATCTGAAATTTTAAGCAAACTATTTCAAACTCAAGAATATGGAGTGGGCTTAGTGTAAGAAAGAAGAAGGTCGTAAAGACTGTAGTCTATTGGAGAACTCCTCCCCTTTCAAAATGGGGCACCTGCCGCTCAGCTCCGGCCAGCTGCTGGCATGTGAGAATGTGGATCCAATGTAGCTCTATCTTCTACATTTCATTAATTTTTCAAGGAAAGTCAGAAACTGAATTCTTTCAAAATTTCATAACTCTTAGTTGGCAATCAGTTAAAAATAAGAAAATGTAGGCCAAACCAAATATGCCTAAGGACTAAGTTCAGCTTGTAGGTTTGCTGGTTTGTGATTCGGATGAGCTTCCTGGGAAACTCAAGACACCTTATCCATTGGTAATCAGATGTACTCAAAGGAAATGACTAGATATTCTACTTCAATCACATAAGTCTTGGTGGATCTGCACTGCCAGTGGATTTTGGAGTGGCCTAGCTATCTAGGATCATTCAGTTCATGGACTGGGAACAGATCACCTCTCAGACTCCCCTCTACTAGGAATTCCATCAGTGGCACATCATTTGCCTATCCTGGAAACACTAGAGGTCTTGGGGTCTGCAGAGTAGGGCTAATGATGGAGTAGTTGCCATTCTAACTTTTTCAGAAGAAACTTTGCATGTCAACTCTTTTAAAAATTAGTTACAAAATGTCATAGTTATTTGTGAAGACTATTTTGAACTTTTGCACACTTTTATATACAATTGATAGCTACTGCTATCATAGATGAAATTCTGATTTCTACTAATATATTGCAAAAAACAGTAAGATCAACTTATTCATGACTATCTTTCCATCTTAAGTACTGAATTTAAGCACTTAAGATCTACAAAGTCAGTATGTTTACCTACCTATCTATGCCTCCAGTGCCTACTATAATGAATGGCACATGGTATTTACTCAATAAATATTTGTTTGGTGAGTAGATAAATTATAGACAATTTTAAAAATCTTTCTTAAAGAGTTCAACAAATTTAAAAATATTTCTTTAATTCTCAGAACAATGTTATCTTATTATGTCCTATCCATATCCGCATCATATCTGGCAAGAAGGAAATAGGAAAGTTTCTTTTTTTAAAATATTTTATTTATTTGACACAGAGAGAGAGAGAACAAGCAGTGGGAGCAGCAGAGGGAGAGGGAGAAGCAGGCTCCCCGCTGAGCAGGGAGCCCAATGCAGGGGCTCGATCCCAGAATCCTGGGATCATGACCTGAGCTGAAGGCAGACACCTAACCGACTGAGCCACCCAGGTGCCCTGGAAATAGGAAAGTATCAACCCAATTGTGGAAGTGGAGAGGAAGTATAAAAAAGGCAAACAAACAGCAACTCCTCATTTAAAGTATCCTCTGTGTACCTGCCTCCTAAGAACTGAGTGCCTACATTAATGATAGTGCAACTATTCTAGAGTTTTAGAAGGGAAAGGGGACTCTCAATTCTTTTAGATTCTGCTGCTTTTCAAGGAATGCAGGAAATACTAGTGTGAAATAACAGTGATGATGCTTAGAGTCCTATTTATAGATCATATGGAATTAATTTGAGAGTTTTCTTATACATATAAAGAACATTTTCTTCTTCCTTGGTTAAACTGGAAACAGGAAACTGATCACAATTATACGAAACATCCCTGTCCGCAGGAAAGAGAAACTGTTATCAGGATGATTAACAAAACCCTTTACCTGTGAGTAACATAGTCTCCATTTTGTTCAAGTTTCAGGTTATTAAGACAAGGTTAAAACCATGAGGCTACACAGCATGATTTAAATATTCTTTTTATACTTTAAAAACAAAGTTAATTTGAATGTAAATATAGGTTTTCCCCTATCATGCAGCTATATCTTTTTCCTCCCAGACTCACTTCTTAGAAGTTGGTTTGGCTATCTTTAAGATTAAAAACAAACACAAAACACAAACAACAGATTTACAAATGAAAGAAAAAGTCCTAATTGAAACCAACATGAAAATGGGTTTTAAAAGTATGACAGATCTTCAGAAATAAAGTACAACAGTACTCACAAAAATATTTAACTCCTGATTAACTGTGGAGGAAGACGCGGTTTCCTCTACCTCTCAATTTAGTTTAATATGCCTATCACAAACGAATGCCCAATAAATATTGTTGTCATTTCTATTATTCTGAGGAGGAAAAGCAGTTGATTTAGAGTTGGAAGTTCTACAATGTAATACTGGCTTTAAGTAACTGTGCACATATAGGCCTCTTCATTTCTCTGGGCCTTAATTTCCTCACCTATAAATGAGGGAATAGCTTGATCATCTTTTAGCACTGTTCAACTCTTAAGTGATATAATCTTCTAATTACCAGTTTTGTAAACAGTCATGCTAAAATCTTAATTCTATGCTTCTTTCTTTTCCTATCTTTATGAGGATTTACTCAGTTAATATAATCAACTTTTAAAAAAAGATTTTATTTATTTATTTGACAGAGAGAGACACAGCGAGAGAGGGAACACAAGCAGGGGGAGTGAGAGAGGGAGAAGAAGGCTTCCTGTGGAGCAGGGAGCCTGACATGGGGCTCAATCCCAGGACCTGGGGATCATGACCTGAGCTGAAGGCAGACACTTAATGAATGAGCCACCCAGGCACCCCTATAATCAAAATTAATTAAAAAAAACTTAAAACAGGCCATTGTTACAGCTTTAAAATTGTTCAAGTCCCTGCTCTCCTTCATTAGGGTGAAAAACACTAATAGATTTAAGTGTCAAATTAAATTTATTGATGCATTTTCCAGAAGGGCATATAGAGAGATTTCTTCTCTTTGCCTTCCTGTTCCCATCATTCTGTCTTTCTTCACTTTAGTTTCCTTTTAGTCCCCTAACTTCGTTCTCTTAGATATACCTGTCTCTTTTAACTAGAAATGGAAGGAAAAAAAAAATGTCTCTGGATTTTGGAGACAGTAAGGAGGAAAAAAAATTTTTACCTTTCCGGGTAATCCAAATGCAAAGAGTCCAAGATCTTCATAAGATGTCACAGCTGTTGAGAGAGATTATAATTCTTACTTTTACACAAAACTATTTGGGTGCCAAGCCCTAAAGGTAAGAAAGCTATTCCACTACTATCTTATAGCTATTGGATGGTTACATTAAATTTAGAGCAGAAGTAACCACTGCTGGGGGAAACTTTTGGAGACTTACGGTCTGTAAGGATAGAGTCATAGAATAAGTAGAGCTTAACAAATTGCAAGGTTATCTACTTACCACCCAGGCTGCAGTAGTTCAAATGCACTGATCACTCAAGAACAACCCCACTTCTCCCTCAACAGTACTTGCACACTACACTATCCAAAAGCAAGCTTTCACCGGCAATAGTCTCTGAAAACTGCATATATAAAGTTAGATAAAGTATGAAAGCTGTATCATACTTTCAGAGACATTCATTTTTCCTTACCTCATAATTAGTAGGGCATACACTTTATTTTTTCATCATGAGTATGGCATTACATTTTCATTCCAGATATTTAAGAAATGCAGGCACAGAAAAGATGAAAATTAAATGGCTCATAAAAGAACACAATTTGTCCTTAGCCTGTATAGCTTCATGTTCTAACTAATGACGCCACCAGTAAAAATGAGAAGTAAAAACATTTATGTAATCCTATAGTCTGAAAAGTGTGTAACCTTACAGTACTTACACTAAAAAGCAGCAGACTAGCAGATGCTAAGGCTTGGTACAGCAACACACTTTTCCTATTGAGTCCAAGATATGGTCATCATTTTTTAAAGCAAGTCTTAATATATTCTCTCAAGAAATACACGGGTTTTCTTTAAATTGTCACTAACTTAACAAAAAGCTCCTCTGTACTTTTGTATACAAAAACCACCAGGTTTGTAAAGTTAAGCATTTAAAAAGTGTTTATGGCCTTTACATGTTATACCTACAAAGTTGGAAAGAAAACTGAAATGTTGAAAATATAAAATTACTAAAATACTAATTAAGAACAAAAATTTTAACATTTTTAATTGCAAAATTTAAATTATTAACTTTAATCTATTTCAGAGTTGGATGACACAGGTATTTTTTTTAAGTGTATTTATATACTGCTAAACCCAGTGAACAAAGACAATTTAGTTTTGATTTTGGGATATATAATTTGATTATTAGTAGGAACCTTTATACTTTAACAATGAAAGACTCCTACAATAATCTTACAGGGGTAGATTTTGGATACATTTTAGAACATAAAAATTAAAAAGCAGAGTTACAAAACGAAGAACTGGAATTTTTTCCTCCTTTGTGAAATGCCAAAATTCTTTTTTCCAAATATATATATTCTAAAGTGAATGTCAACACAAAAATTAATAATTATTTTAATCAATAAATCTTTACTAGTTTGTCTTAATTTTCTAAACATAATTGATAATATTATATAGGAGCACAATTCCTTAAATTTGACATTCCAAAGCCTTGGTATATATATATTAAACCAGAAAAATTGTCTAAATGTTAGCTTCTATATAATTTGACACTGAGAAGGTAAGTTTGCTGAATATTACGTGTATGTGAACCAAGTCTCCAGAAGCATGAGACACTAAAGCATGAGATTAAAGGAACATCATTGTTCAATTTTAGCATCCCTCCTTAATATTATAGTTAAAATTGTGTGTTTTTTTTTTTTTAAGATTTTGTTTATTTATTTGCCAGAGAGAAAGAGAGAGCACAAGCAGGGGGAGTGACCTGCAGAGGAAGAGGGAGAAGCAGACTCTCCGCTGAGCAGGGAGCCCGATGTGGGACACAATCCCAGGACCCTGGGATCATGACCTGAACTGAAGGTAGTCGCCTAACCAACTGAGTCACCCAGGCGCCCCTATCTGTTCTTTCTTAAAAAAAAAACTTTTCTTCCAAGAACTTAAAACAAGGAGGCTTTTCAGTGTCACAAATGGGAATATACTGAATAACTTGCTTTTAAAATGACTTATGTAGAGGTTCTCTGTCAATAAGCAAGTTATTAAGATGATACTGATCCAAAATTTTACTAAGGTTTGTTTCATTTTTGAACAGCAGAAAACAAGTACAGATTTATATTTAGTAAACATGAAAAGCTAATAAATTTCCCATAAGCAAAAGTCATAATACCGAAGGATTCCAAAAAAACTGGTATTTCAATTACCTAAATAAATTAAACATTAACTTTTAAATTACAACACAACCTTTATTATCACAGAAAATATAATCAAACTAATAGCTTAATAAAGATAAATGTACTTGCAACTTCTGACAGTAGTGGCATGCATTTTAGCAATTTCAAACTTGCTATTATTTTCTAATTTTATAAAAGTATCTCTAAATACAGCAAACTCCCAAATTCAGAGAGAAAAACGTTTAGACTTTTAAATGGAGACTGAGTATAATGTTCAAATCTGCACTCTATCTTCCAAATCAGCACGTCTGGCTAGCCATTCAGTTTTGTCACTGTCATCATACTTCTTTTATGTTGCAAAAATAAGAAGTATTTTCCCATGTCTAAGACATTATGAGTATGAATAATGGCTTCAGGCTTAACATTGAGGCTTTACTAAAATATGTACACAGTCAGCCAAATGCTTTATCTCTACATATTCTCTTTTAATTTTTAATGGTTTTCTGGACCATCTCAACATATAAACCCAAACAACCCTAGTGAAATATTTTTAAAGTTCTGTTTTATCATTTGGGCAGTTAAGATGCTAGTAATAGTGTAAATTGGTATGACGTTCGGAATACAGTTTGAACAATGAGCCTTTAAAATATTTTTAACATTTGGGGGCGCTGGGATGGCTCTCTCGATTAGGCGGCCGACTCTTGATTTTGGCTCAGATCATGATCTCAGGGTTGTGAGATCAAGCCCCTTGCCAGGCTCCAAGCTGCCGCTCAGCATGGAATCTGCTTGTCCTTCTCCCTGCCCCTCCCCCAGCTCACTCATTCCCTCTCTCTCTCTCTCTCAAATAAATAATTAAATAAAATTAAAAAAAATATTTATAACATTTTACCCCTAGAAGCTTGCATCCTAGGAAATACGACTAAAATCACAAAACACTATATGCAAAGATTATCATGCATAATTTACACTGAAATAAAAAAAACCCACCACAAACCACCTAAATATTCAATAATGGTAAAGTGGTTAAGTATATTATAGTAGTATACCTGATACATTAATAGGTAGCCATTAAAAACTATGTTTATGATAACATGAAAAATGTCAATATTGAATGAAAAAATTGATTCGAATATGATCCATAAATTAAAAACATAAAAAGAGTGGGATGAACTACATAAACTGGTAATAATGATCATGTAGTCTTCTTTCTTTGTCTTCCTTTTCTGGGGGGCATTCAAATATTCCACAATGACCATAATGGGCTGGTGGAACTTTAAAAACCAGACTCCTTGTATAGTTCTATTTCCTCTACCAAATATTGGATGGGGTCGATTTAAGCTGCAACTTTTAATTTCTCTGGTGTTTAGTAAAGTATCATTTGGTCTCCTAATAAGGGATGTTCTTCTGCTCTTTCATATGATCAATGTTTTAATATCTTATTTATAAAGTGAAAATGTTTTGAGAGATCTCAAAATAAGATGTGGTAATGACCAGTCACATTAGAAGCATATTCCTACAGAATAGGAATAACATTAGTTATGAAATTATAAAATTAATTCAGTCTTTTACAGGAAACCATACAAGCAGTATTTGGCACAATTCTCCTTAAATAAATAACTGAAAGCAGTCGTTAGCAATCTATTTTAGGAAATTATTTTTTGATATTAAAGAAATCAATGCTCTGTTTTCAGGAGGCAGAAAGGCTGTAAATCTTAACAAGTAAATTGGGGGAAAATCTCTTCTTTAACGTACCATCAAGGCACACGATAGTGCTATTTTGGCGAGACCAAGAGTTTGGCTCCACACGAATCATTTGGAAAGCTGCTTCCCATAAAGTTGTGGAATACTTCCAGCTAGTTACTCCAGTGTTCTGTCTGCTTTGCATTTTTTCCTCAATGAAATAGGACAATTAATAAACTCTGGTTACAGTACAAAGCCCAAGCTTCAGCAGCAGCAATATTATCTTTGGATCTGAATTGAGGGACATAAGTTATTCAAAAACAGTTCAATTCTCAGAAAGTTGGCCATTTGGAATGCACCCTTATTATTTTGAAATTGTTCTCTTTCTTGTGCTTTCCATCACTTTCCTCTCACCTTTTTCTCCCTAATAGTGTCATGCAGGTCATTCATTTATTGAGTGTCTACTATGTAACTGTATCACTACTTCTGACCTTTCTCAATATGTAATTAAATGTCAGTTTACCCACTAAATGCGGTATGATTCTAGAGAATTCGATGCAGGAAAAGAAAATAGAATACTAGAATACTAGAAACATTCTCCTTTCAAGTGGCACAGAGGTTGTGATATTGCATGTGTAGAGAAAGTTCTAGGATCCCAATATACTGCTTGGCTCTGCTGTGAACATTTATATAATCTTATCCTATAAATGCTACTCATTAGTTTTCAACTAATTTACAGAAAGTAAATATTGTCAATCTTGACAATATAAAGTTGCAGCAGGGAAATATGGGGAGTATGGGAAATAGGGAGAGGACAGGTGAGAGAAAGCGTAGGAGCACTAATATCATATCACATGGTAGAGTCAAGGGATGCTCTCTAAAGTCCATGGAACAAAAATAAAAATTTAGGGGCGCCTGGGTGGCTCAGTTGGTTAAGCGACTGCCTTCGGCTCAGGTCATGATCCTGGAGTCCCGGGATCGAGTCCCACATCGGGCTCCCTGCTCAGCAGGGAGTCTGCTTCTCCCTCTGACCCTCTTCCCTCTCGTGCTCTCTATCTCTCATTCTCTCTCTCTCAAATAAATAAATAAAATCTTTAAAAAAATAAATAAATAAATAAATAAAAATTTAAGTGTATTAGAGTTACAAAATAATCAGCCCACACAGGTGGGTTATGATACCTATAGGAATTTCATTTCAGATAGTAAATGGAGCACT